TACCGGCAAAATAAGTTACAGACTTATCACTAAAATGCCGGCTATCACGTACGGCGGACTTTGACAATTACGGACATTCCAAAGGGTGTCTGCAATTGTAGCAGTTAACTTTGGAATGATCAACAACGAAAAAATGTAAAATCTTTTAAACCTATAGAGAAAGGAAATACAAGGCACAAGTCATCGATCATCACGTATTAAAACGAACCTTTGAAGATGCGACGTAGTCTCTTGCATTCTCTCTTCCGACTTCAAAGTGGCGTCTTCTTCGTTTACGGCGATGTCATTGATTGAATATGCTTTAGTGTCAGACATGTATGTCAGGCAATTCACTTCCATGCCATCCATCTGAGTGAGATGATTTTTATCTGAGTTAGCAGGCCAGGTCTCATCTATGCTCTTTCCACTGATCCAGGTCGATTGAGTCAGCTTGGTCTTGTTTACGATATCAATATGAGAGTCCACGTCCGCCATCATCCTTCCCGGAAATTCGATTTCAGTCATTTGTTGACGAATGATTATTTTACCCATGCCATTACCGTTTCACGCCAACGATCATTTTATACGATTGTTGTGTATTCCTGAGTCAGTCTAGCTTAACAAAAGTCAGTCTTTACAATCATAGAACGAAAATAAGGCACTTGAAAGAAAACCAGTTGCATTCACCGAGTTTGTACAAAGACGTAATTTAAACTAAACGTGCGCTTATGTTGTATTCGTCCGCTCACAAACACGATCTCTTCGTGTGACTTCAGACTTCGCCAAATCCATGCGTATGTCGCGTTATCTCTGTCATGTGGCCCGTAAATCTGCAACGGCCTTTACGTTTACTCACTAACAGAGACTCCTCATTCGGAACTTAGAGTATTGAGCCGCTTAACTGAACGCAAATTAAATATTAATGACTGTCAAAATCATAACAAAAGGAATTGTATATTAATCAATCTCATTCTTTGTTTCCACCAATCAAGTACCACCTGGTTCAGGAGATCGCAATCAAGTGCCGAACCATTTTGACTACGACATCCTTCCGCAAAGCATGAAAATTCTTTGGAATTTCCACTGTTTTGACGCTCCTCTTTGGTCAGCTACTAAACTGACTTGATATACATGGTAGATTAACCTCAGAAAAAGAGGAAAAGTATTGAAGACGAGATTTCAGGACCTGCTGCGGCCAGTCTTTTTTTCGGACTAAATCGTCATGGCATTGTCACGCGTGTAATTTTTGTGAGACGTCAGTTGATCAGCACAAGTGTGCCCCAAGAACTGTAGCCTGCGTAGCAAGCGTTTCCGTGCGGTTCCGCAGCAAAGAACGAGGAACGAGAGTCAAAGACCGCGCGAAAAATGGCACCCCATTATTGAGTTTTTGGCGCTCGCGCTGCCAAAACCGAAAATCCCGCTGCTCGGTCCTTGTTTGCCCCGAAACCAAACGGAAGCGCTTGCTAAGCAGGCTAGCTAAACCGGGATTTATTTTTGCCCATTTGTGTCTTAGCATTGAGGCTAGGGTTGACCGTCAGGGTGGTGCCCGATTTTTCTCTCGAAAGTTTTAAAAAGTGTAGCAAGCATACTTTGGCAATTGTTCTCACGGTGACAAAAGATTGCATTTGAATTCCTTCCTCAGCCCCTCTTGGATGGCTTATATTTTGAGCATAGCGAGCCATTAAAGCTAGCCTCCGCCCCGTAAGCATAGCCAGGCTTAGCCTGCGTAGCAGGCGCTTGGAAGTAGTGGGCGAAAGAGCCAGAGAACGGGCGCGCGAGGGAGACACGCGGTCTCCTTCTCGCGCGCCTGTTTTTTCTTGTGCCCACTACTTCCAAGCGCCTGCTACGCAGGTTAAGCCAGGCTACGCTAACAAGTCCCGGTATTGAAGACCGAGCTACATGTACTTTACTGTTGTTTAATTTTATCCTGGGCCGTTTAAATTGACCACTCCAGAAAATACCAAAACATACCATAATGCTCTTTGTTAAGTTTGTCACCCTACAATTTGCATAAGTACTGTTTTCAGTTTCTCTTGAGGCCATTTTAACTCCCGAGAGAAACTGAAGATAATGCTTATGCAAAATTTTGGGGTGACAAACAAAGAGCATTATGGTATGTTATGGTATTTTCTGGAGTGGCCAATTGTATTTCTCTTTCCTTTGTTTCAAACGCGCGCGTTACTATACCCCCTCATGTATTTATCTTGTCTTTGGATAGGCATTCGAACGAACAAATTCGGAAATTGTCTAAAACGTGTGCTTAAAGATGCAACGGCGGGTGTGCTTAGTTCTTTTGACAAATGACATTCTACGATTAACGCCCCCGAAAAGCCCCCCCCCCCCCCCCCCCCCCCCACATAGCACCCCAAAAAACAAAAAAAAAAACCAAACCAAAACGGTGCGGGGCGCCGTTCTAAAAACACAATAAAATAAAAAGATCTTTTGTCATCATACCAAGGGGAGGGGGGTTCTAAATAAAACCCTACTCCTTACATTATCATACAATTATATTCTTTTATTT